TTAATCCACCCCAATTAATTTCCTATACATCTTAACAAACTCATAAACATCTTTTTCTTCAGAGAGAAATTTTGAAACACTTTCTCTCTTTAAACACCTATTTCCCCATTCAACGAGTTTTGGACACTCTAACTTCAAATTTCCCACTTTTTCATAAGTTGAAAACCATTTATAAAATGGAATTATAGCAATATCAAGAAACCCAAATGTGTTTCCCCCAAAATATGGCTTTTCCCCAAGAACCTCTTCTATTTTCTTCAAATTCTCTATTAACTCCTTCTTTTCTTTCTCAAGTTCATCCACTTTTCCAGTCCATATCTTCTTTGCAACTTCATGCACCTACATATTCAACATATCATTGATATCAACATAATAATCCTTATAATGGATGCAATTAGAATTCAGACTATGTACAGTCACATGCATATCAGTTATTTGATCATGATCAAACGATTCTGATATGAAACGTTCGATCTTGATATGAACACTGAAATGTATGTGATTGTATTCGACAAGTTAAAACTAACCTTATTATCAAAGAAATCAACCCAAAATCTAGCATGGGCTTTCTGATAAGGATCAGTAGGCAACAATGGAGTTTGATCCTTCCAAACCTCATCAATGTACTCAAGAATAATGCGAGATTCAGAAATGGGCTTCCCATTATGGATAAGGACAGGGACTTTCTTGTGAACTGGGTTCATTTGTAGAAGCAATGCACTTTTGGTGTTGAGAAGATCTTCTTCCTTGTACTCATACTTGACACCTTTCTCTCCAAGTGCAATCTTAACTCTTACCACAAACATACTCAAATGATATCCCAACAACACCACTTCATCACCCATTGTGAGATGACTCTAATGAACAAAGATGTTGGATATAGTTGAATTTATAGCACTGGAAATAACGCTCAATTCAAGTCGTATTTAATGTTATGGATATACAAATAAAAAAAGAAAAAAATATTCTTTTTTTTTCTATTAAAAAATACTACTACCTTCTAGAGATGTCCATTTGTCCCAGTAGCAGGGATTCCCGCGGGGATTTCACGTTTGAGGCCCCAAAGACGGGAAGTTTTTTTCCATGGAGACGGAGATGGAGAACAAAGTCTCCCTAAAGGCACTTCAGGGATGGGAGTGGCGTAAATATACTCGTCCCGCCTAGACTACCATGATAAAATAATTTATATATAATTTTAAATTTTTATGTAAGTTTATTTGTCATTTCATATAATTTATCTTATAAACAAATTTAAAATATAAATGTATTATTAGTAAAAGAGTGAGATATAAATGATTATTTAAAACTTTTTAAGTTAGAAATTTTGGTGGTTATGACACTCAATATTATAGATTAAATACTGTTAAAACAATATATTTATCATAAAGGAATAATTTCTAAATTTTGTTGTGGTTTGTTTTTTAAAATTTTATTATTAATTTGGTTTTAAATAATAAATAAAGAAAATCATGTTTATGAATGTCCGTATGAACCTTGGGGATCCGTGGGGATCCACGGAAATCTGTTTAAACAGAAATGTGAGACAAAATTCCCCTGTGACGGAGACCCGAGACGCGAACAGAGAATAGATTCAAGAAATAAATTAAGATGAGAATGTATCCTCCGCCCCCGCTCCGCTCTATTGACATCTCTATTACCTGCATCCCTATATAGAAATTTTTTTATCCAATGAACGTGAATTATAAATTTTTTATGACAGTTTGATTGACCAAAAAAATCATGATAAAATAAAAATATTTAATTTAATAATTAATATTTTTCAAAATTATCATTTAAAAAAGACTTTTTTTCTTCTTTTTTAATGTAATTTATTATTTTTTAATTGAAACTAATAAATTTGGTTACTTTTTAAATAATAATGATATTTTTATCTATAATATTCTTAACTATTTATTAATGAATTTGACTTTTTTTTTACAATTAGTTATTAAAAATAATTTTGATAAAAGTGCAGTTAATATTAATTTAAATTTGAAAAATACCAATTAAAAATAAACAGAAGTTCGTCAAGAACTTGACATTTAAATGGAATGCACGGAATACTAGTTTATGTTCTTATTGTAATTATTATTATAAATGAAAGGAAAAATGTAATAAAGTATAATAAGTCTTAAAAAATAAAAATCTCCAAATAAGAATTACAACCTTCTATGTTGAAACTTGAGGACGGTCACTTGACCCTCATTTTTTTTTAATGTTATTTATGAAAAATATATTTATTATTCTTAAATAAATAGAAGTATGACATATAAAATATTGTAATAGTAGGTGAATACTCTCATATCTTGAATTTATAAATAAATTAATATTTTAAATCAACTTTCATTAAAAATAGGTTACCCAACTATATATTATGGTTACCTAAAAAGTTACTTTAATGATATCATATCTCTTTAGAATTAAATACATGAACAAAAAATCAAGATTAATGTCTTTAAGGCTTTTTATTTAAAAAAAGAAATGAAGGTGTTATGTTAAAAAAACATATATAAAAAACATGTTTAATATGACCCCTTGTATCCGAGAAAGTTTAAAGACGAGTTAGATAACTAAGTCTCACAACACCATCACACACATGTTAGAAAGAAATTTAATAATTAATTTATATAACACCGACTTAATACAAAGATTAAAATTATTATCATAAAATGGAAACGAAATAAAGTATGTAAATATACAACTTTCTAGTTACTCACACTTGCTATATTATTTCAACACCTCAAGTGTGATTCTACAATGTTGGAGGGAGTTACTAGGAGTATACATAGTGTAGGAATAGACACATAAACACATTTGTGAAAGACACACCACTTATCCACCTAAAACCTTAAGGTGATAGGTGAGTGGGTTCTCCCACTTATATATACTTAAGTCTCTACATTCATATTTAATGTGGGACTATTTCTCCACTTACTCACACTTGCTATATTATTTCAACATATAGAAATATTTGAATATATTCAAGGAGAAAGCTTTCTAGAGAGTGATAATTCTGAAACGTAAAAAGTATAGAGACAAATGACTAATATTTGTTGGTTTGTGAATTTTCTTCAACCGATACTCCTAATATCTTAAACACTCTTTAGATGGAGATAATATGTTTATTGTATGGTATATTAGAGATCATAACCTATATATACAAGATGATGGTCAATTAGGTTTTTCATTATTTCAAAATGGATCATCTTGACATCCAGTCATATTTGAGTTCATATCCAACTTATTAATTAATTAATTACTAAATAGAAATTTAATTAGTCTTTTTAACTTTATTTGACCACTTGTAACAAAAAAGAAAAACTTTATTTCACCACTTAATCTATTAAGGGTCTTAATTTAGTAAATAACTAATAGACTTAAATGCAGTTTTATTCTTCTTATTTTAATTTTTATAACTTTTTAGTCTCTTTTTTGAAAAAAGAATCAGTTTTTTAATCCTTTTTTTTCTTCGTATTTCTTGATTTTTTGGTAGTACCCCTCCAGTTTTATACAATTGGCTTTTAGACTTGTGATGTGGAGCTTACGTGTTAGATCTTATGTTAGGGTTTTTAAAATCCTTAGAGTGGGTTGTAAGTTCTACATTAGATGTTCTTAAGCTTTTAAGCATATAACATTTGTGTGTCAGATGCTCATAAGTTATTAAGAATTGAGTGTTTATGTGTAAATTCTCATAAGCTTTTAAGCATTGAGTTATGTGTGTCTTGGAAGAGTGACTTCCAGTTTTGTTCTCTACTTATGTTTAGAGTTGCTCTAATTTCTGAGTGTAATTGAAGAGGGATTTGAGGAGGGTCTCATATCTAGGTGTGTCTTAGGTAGAAGTTAAGCAAAGAGTAGTGATTAAGTAAGTAGGATGTAAACTGGGATGTTTGTTGTGAGGTCTACATTTTGGTACTATCTTGTAAATTTCGTCCCTGGCTTGGTAGCCCCCAAAGTAGGTGTTTGTTTGTACCGAACTGGGTAAGTGTATCTTGTGTTATTTACTTTCAGCACTGTTTAATTTCCCTATATATCTCGCTGTTGTTTGTGAAGTCAGATCCGGTGTCTCGACAATTCTTAGGACATCTGGGATTTGACAGCCAAAATTTCAATTGGTATTAGAGCAGGCATCCTGCTCTGACTCTGGGTGATATTCAGGGAAGTTACTTTCTGGTGAAATGGACAAGGATGGTAGAGTTGTTGTTAAAATGCCAATTTTGGATGGGAACAACTATGACAATTGGAAACCTTATATGTGAACCTTTATAAAATCCTTGGGTGACAAGGCTTAGAGAAATGTTATCAAAGGATGGGATCCACCAAAGGTTTTGGATGCTAAAGGTAAGGTTACTTATCTGTTGAAAACTGAAGAAGATTGGAGTAATGCTGATGAGTTATCAGCTCAAGTAAACTCCAAAGCATTGAATGCCATATTCAATGGGGGTATAAGAACATATTCAAGTTGATAAATAATTTTAAGCATGCCAAGGTTGCTTGGGAGACCTTAAGATAGGTCCATGAAGGAAATTCTAAGGTGAAAATGGCAAAGCTTCAACTTCTCTCAACAAAATTTGAGAACCTGGAGATGAAAGAAGAGGAAATCATTCAAGACTTTCACATGACTGTTTTAGACATTGTAAATGACTCAGAAGACTTGGGGGAGAAGATATCAAAAGATAAATTGATCAAAAAGATGCTCAAATCTCTTCTGAGGAAGTATGACATGAAAGTCATTGCCATTAAAGAGTCCCATGATGTAAGCACCATGATTGTGGATGAACTGGTAGGTTCTCTTAAGATTTTTGAATCCTCTCTCAATGAAATAACTGAAAAGAAGAAGAGTATAACATTTAATTATAGTATTGAAGATTTAGATGATAATTTTGAGTTCAATATAGAAGGAGTATCCGGGGATCTTGTGCTACTAGGAAGACAGTTCAAAAAAGTTCTGAGGAAGTCCAAGTCAAATTTCAAGAACATGTCCTTAGACATCATCAAAAATCAGGACAATGGAGAGAAGTACAAAATTGAAGAAAAGCCAAATCAGGGAAAAGGAGTTCAATGTTACGAGTGTGAGGGATTTGGTCACATAAAATCTGAGTGTGCCACATATCTCAAGAAACAGAAGAAAGGTTTATCTGTGTCATAGTTATAGGATGACTCTGAAAGTGATTGTGAAGAGGAATCTTCCAAACAAGTGAATACCCTGACGGGAGTTTTTAATTCTGATGAAGATTTAGATAATGAAGAACTTACTTTTGAAAAGCTCCCTAGTTCATACAAAGAGTTATGCATCAAAAATGAAGGAGTATGTCAACAAGGAGAAGAGAAAAAAAGATTCATTGCTCAACTGCAGGCTAATGAAGTAGAATATTTAGCCATTATTTCGGATTTGAAGGAGAAAGTTGTATTGATAAATTCAAAACTAAACAACATGACTAAATCTGTGGGAATGTTTAATAATGGTTTAGATGCTCTAGATGAGATTCTTGAGGCTGGAAGGAATGCTGGTAATGTTCAAGGTCTTGGTTATGAGAGTCAAGGTGTGAAGAACAAAGAAGTAAAGCCTGTTGTAAAGTTTGTACCTCCAAAGAGGGAACAAGAATAGAAGATGTCAGACCACATGTCCCAACATCAATATAGGCATTCGACAAGCTATACAGGAGTGAGAAATCAGAAATGGAGATGCTCATATTGTGGTAGGTTTGGTCATCTGAAACCCTACTGCTACAAATTTTATGGCTATCCCAAATCCAACTTACAACCTAGAAGAATAAAAAATGTGGCTAAAAAGAAGGAAAGATGGATTCTTAAAAAGAGAATGTCTGAAGAATCGATCCACACATAT